ACTACTACTACTACCACTACTACAACGACGACGACTACGACGACTACTACTAACAAGACTGACCATCAACGGAAGAAGAAGAATGCACAAGACTGCAGAAACTATGGGGCTGGCATCAAGGCTCGAGGGTTCCCTTCCTGGGAGTTGAGGCCATCAGGCTATACCATACGAATACTGATAAGGATGATGATAACAACAGGCAGAACAATCATAAGGACAGGAATGATACCACTAGTAACAGCAGAAACAGTACGTACTTAAGAATAGCAACGATGGTAATAAGGAGCCCCGTGAGGAATCGTTGCGTTGCTACATATGGGGGTTTCCGAAATTAGGGGACCCTAATATAGTACCCTAGATCGTAGGATCCTTATTTTAAGGACCCCCAAAATAAGGTACCCCTAATTTCCGAAAACTCCCATGTATTGGCGGCTGGGTGGCCAGGTCCCCAGAGGTGATCTGGCTCAACTCCGAGCTCCTGCGGCCAGTTCGGTTTGGGGTTCCTTTAAGGTTTCTCCAAAAGGGGCTTCCTTTCTTAAGGGCTCTGTTAGGGTTTCCGTTAAGGGTTGTGCTAAGGGCTCCTTCAAAGGAGCCCTTAAAGGAACCATCCCAAGGCGCCACGACTCAAAATCCTGGCTGGACGATTTCGCCTGAAACTTCTTGGGCAAATTCAAAGTAGAGTCGGTCCAGAAGTCCCGGGTCTCATGACTGCTTGTGCTGTCTCTTTGACTTTGTTGTCCGTCGGAAGCCGAAGATGATGACGTTCATGACGGTAGTGAGAGTGACAGACCGGTGGTGGCAGACATTGGCCAAGCCGGAAGTGGTCCTGGTGCTGGTCACACCACTGGATGAAACCTGCGCCCACGTAGAACCAGCAACACCGCTCACGGGCACCACCATCTCCATCATCAGCATCATCTTGTTGGTGAGGGTCAAAAGCATCTTCAGTCTTCATCAAAAAACGCCTTCATCTAGCATCCTCGCCGCTTAAATTACCACCTTCATCTTGATCATCATGATGATATTGTTGTTAAACGGTCATCACCCGTCGTCATCACCAGATCACGATCACAGTCGCTATCGTTATTGTCAAGTAAAACAGCTCGCACCGGCATCACAATCACCATCATCACCATCATCATCATCATCGTCATCGTCATCGCCATCGTCATCGTCATCGTCATCATCATCATCGTCATCGTCATCGTCATCATCATCATCATCATCATCATCATCATCATCATCAACACCACCTCCATCATCAGCATCAGCACCAGCATCATAATCATTATCGCATTGCTATCGCCGTCGCCAGACTCGGATTGTGTGTTGCGTTACTCGCAGAACCCTCCACCGAACCAAATACAACGTGTCGCACATTTGGCAAAGGCTGGGCACACCGTGCGCCGGCCCCGCAACCCTGGACCTTATACTTAGTCTTATCCCAAACTCCGACAGCTTGCAATCACACGACATCCAGAAAGCCGGGCTGTAAAATGCCACAGTCAGAGGTCAACACTTCATCCCGCACAGTAGGTCTAACACGGAGCAATGAACGGAACTTCTCTAGGAACGGCAATCGCAGCAGAAACAGGAGCTGCAGTGTTCATCGTAGGAAGCGTGGTAAAAAGCCATGTAAGTTCAGTCCAGCTCGTCCAGCATGCATGGATCTCGGCGTCCGCAAGCAGCCTGTCTGACCACAGCTCAAAGTGGCACCGCCCGAAACTCCCCGAAACTTTCCGATCCTGAAAACTAACACAACCATAGTTCCCAGACCCCAAACACTGCGAAACTTCCGAGTCTACTGCCAACCTTCCTGGCACCCAAAACTCCTTCTTTAGAACGATCGACAGCGTGCAGAGCCCGCTCTGCTTAGCTTAGATTCATATTGTAGCTGCACGACCACAGCAAGGGCCCTTCAGATCTTGAGTCGCCTGGTTTGGGAGGTCTGGCAAAAGCCTTCTGATATAGGGGGCCTAAGTAATAACCAATACTATTTTGGGGGGTTCCTCAATAGAACCCAATTCTAATTATTAAAGGTCCCTATATTCGATTTAGGGTTTGGGTTTTTTCCCTCTCGCATGGCTGAGTTCAATGCTCACAAGCCCGAGGGTTAGGGCTTAGGGTGTAGGGTTTAGGGTTTCGACTCTCACTCTCGCACGAAGCAGGCAAGGCTCCTCATATGTGGGTTTAGGGTTTAGGGGAAAGCACATGACTCCAGATTCCCACCGGAAATATGTGTAGCAGTATGAGGCTGCTGAACTACAGTGTCGGCAAATGCCCTGACCACAGTATCATACTATCCTTACCTCGACATAGGTGGTTGTCAAAATTATGGTCCTTTTTTGGGTCCTTATTATAATACGGCACCAATTATTTAGGGTACCCCCCAAAGGGACCATAATTTTGACAACTACCCACATAGCCGGCGGTTTTATTTTAGAAGGGACAGCCAAGGCCCGAGCCTGGTACCAAACCCTGAGCCCTGAACCCTAATATAGGGGCCTTAACAATTAGAATAGGGTTTTGGGACCTATTATACTATAGTTATAATAAGGCCATAACAAATAGGAACAGGGTTTTGGCACCCATTTTCCTATAATCAGGAACCCCCAAGATAAATAATATAGGTAACTATTCAGGCCCCTACATTGGACCGTGCTTTCTCGTCCGCCTCGGAAGCGGCGCTTTGGCTAAAGCACCGAGCCAGAAAGCCAAAAGAGCTTCTGGGGAGATACCGGAAGGCTCCTTTGGGTCGTCACAGGGTTTGGGGTTTAGGGAGCCTTGTAGTTAGGGTTCTTGTTTGCCGCTTGGGGTTTAAGATTCCGGGTTGTGTTGTCCTGATTTTTTTTCCAGGGTTTTTGGAGTTATGACCTTGGGTTTAGGCTTTTGGGGTTCTCGCAGTGCCTCCAACCCAACCGGGTCCCTCATCCAGGGCTCTGTACAAGCTGTTTATGCAAAGCTACACGTGGTTTAGAGAGTTCAGCCTTGCTGAAGCAAGCGCCCTCAGTAACGGACCCAGGATGCTCATGGATACTTTATCTCTATCTCTCTCGCTGTGCTTGTAGGCTTCGATGAACTTGAGGGTGTAAACACGGCGGGGGAGAGGGCCAGCTAAGAGGCCGGAAGGCGTACTACATGCAAATTGCTGTGAGACTTCACGTACGTGCTTCACAAAGCTTGCAAAACCAAAAGCCCAAGGCTAGACCAGATGCCCCGCAACTTGATGATCCCGGGCTGCCATTGCGGAAGCATATCCAAACTTACGGTTGTAGCTTCCGCACGCCAAAACACAAGTCCCGAGACCTCAACGCATTGGCAACTTTCACAGGTTGGAAGGGTGCTGTATCTTGACTTGTTGTTCCTTCTCTGTTTCTCTCCTAACTACATGTCCTTCCCTTCGCTCCTGCACTTTCCCTCTGTCTGCTTGCTTTCCATGCATGCCTGATTGTGGGACTAACAGCAGTGTTCTATAGTTGCTGCGTTGCGCATACATCCTCATGCAGCCCTATTTGACGGCCCTAGATCTCCTCGAAGCGCCGTGCGGTGGCGGCAATCAAGGATGGGCTCGGCAGCACGTCGAAGGACACCAGCGAAGTGAAGAGGGCTAGCGCCACACTTGGTTCGAGCAGACGGCAGGAGAAGTCGGGTATCATGGCTGCCAGAGAAAGAAAGCACAAAAGGGGTCGTCAGCACAGTAGGGTCGATGGCGCAGAAAAGCAGGACCTAAGATCAACATGTCCGCAACGGCAGAGGAAGGCTGGTCATCGCCTGCGCCGATGTCGCGGTCACATTGGTAGTGGCGACGGCTTTGCATGGTGGTGGCAGTAGCAGTGGCAGTAGCAATACCAGCACTTCTAGCACTGCTGGTGGTACTCTGGCCGTCCTTCGCGTCATAGCCAGTGCTAAGTCAGTAGGGTTTGGTCTTAAGTGTCTTGTGCATTCCGGTGTAGGACACTGTCCGGGCTGGGGCATCGGCGGGGGTTGCGAGGCCTCGCTCTTGATCCCTGAACTTAACTGTGCAAGCTGTCCGGTTGGCGTTTCGACAGCTTCGGGGGCTTATAGGACTCTGTTACGACCCCGTGAATGGAAACGGTGTAGTGCCTGTCTGCAGTCAGCCGGCGCACGCAATATTCCAAACTACTTCAACTGCTCTGATGTCCCCTGCGACTTCTGTCGTGATTTGTCCTGTAAAGTGACCAAATGAACCCTACAGCCTAAACTCCAAAAAACACGTAAACTCCGCGTGAGCATCTCTCTATGTAAAGTTAGAGCAAACGTCAACACTGAAGAACCAGATGCAATCATATGACCTCCGACTGCTGGGGTCAAACATCCGGGGTCCTTAGAGTGAGGATCGTGGTGTTCGAGGCTCTATCTTCGGGGTCCCGTAGTTTTCTGAAACAGTCATGTCTAGTGCTGCGGCAAGGTGCGAGCTATCCTCGATCTGCAGGTGAAGCAATGAGGTCGCTGCCAGGTCTGGCCAGGAGATTTACATGCTGCAGGATGATGCAAACTGCAAGTCTGACAGCGGCTTAGTGTTTGGTGAGTACCTGTAGTCTCCATTGTAGTTCCTTTTTGGGGGTGCCTTATGGGATCCTAATTACAAAATTGGTTAAACAAAAAAAGGAACTACAATGGAAACTATAGGTATGGGGTTGCTGGGATTGGCTGCGGGCTCGAGTTTGGGCATTCGCCGCTAAGCAGAACTTCAGGCTCGAACGGCCCAAGCTGAAGTGGACTCAGTTCGGTTCGGAGACTCTTCATGCCTGTAGAAGCCGGAAAGAATAGACTAGGGTCTGCGGCAGCTTTATGCAGCAGCGCCACAAGTATAACTGCAGTCATGAAGCCCTACGAACCCTAGTAATCCTTCCGACCCCCGCCCCAAGAATAACAACATTGTAGCGATCATTTTGGGTTCTCAGCCCCAGCAGCTGTCAGGACGATAGGAGTTGGCCCTAAACCCTCAACCCTCAAACTACACAAGTGAGCCAAGAAATCACGGGATCACCACACTGAACTGACCCTCGGTCTGGGAGCTCCTTCGCATACTCTAAACCGACACTGATGGCTGAAGGGTTTAGGGGTTTTAGGGCTTAAATGTCCGAAACGAGGAGCGAACCATGTACAGCCTAGCTCACGCGTCTCTAGAGGGTTCGCAAGCCCTAGACCCTAAACCCTAAACCCTAAACCCTAAACCCCAAGCTAAGCATGGGGTTTTGAGGTACGAGTGCTCTTTCAGGGTTCTGGGGCTCTGCGGTTGCCTCTGGTCTTCGCCTCCAAAGCACTGACCCGGGCAAACCGCAAACCCTAAACCCTACTTGGAGGACCATGGGACTTAGTAAGTAAGGTTATAAGTCCCCTAATTGGGGTTATAAGTATTGTTACCTTAGTTATAGCCCTACTTACTAAGTCCCATGATCCTTTAAGTAAACCCAGGCCAACCTTAAACCCCTTCCAAGAGCTTCCACGGCTGAGGCTCGATATGCGTAATGTAGGGGCCCTAATAATTCGGCTAGGGATTTTGGCATCCTTTTTTGCATACTTATTTTATAAGGAGCCCCCCCAAAAAAATAGTATAGGTAATTATTTAGGCCCCTACATTATACCCTTAACCCTAGCCCGAAACCCTAAACTATACGGCAAGGGCTCACCTTAAACCCCCAACACACCAACCGAGCCTCGAGCTCAGGCCTAAACGGATCTAAAGTAGAACCCCGAATTTGGGACCCCATACTACCTGTAGTCTCCATTGTAGTTCCTTTTTGGGGATACCTTATAAACTCCTTAGTTCATAATTGGTTAAACCAAAAAAAGGAACTACAAAGGCTATAGGTACTAAGGGCTCTTTATAGGAACCCCCACTAAGGGATCCCTGAACCCTGGGGCCCTAGAACCCCATTCCGGTAAGAGAGTTCAACGGCTGCGTAGCACCCTGATCCAAACCCTAAGCACTTTTCCCCCTGAGCCCCAAACCGTCAAGCCTGAAACCTAAATCCTAAGCGTGTTTGTCAGGCCTAGCACCCTTCTCGGGGGACGAAATCCTGGAGGTGTTCAGGGCTCCGGGCTTTAGGGCTATAGTTTATAAACCCTAAACTCTAAACCCTGTGTATTTAGGCTTTAAGGGCTCTGAGGGCTTCAGGAGGCAAGTTGCTTTAACGGCTTGAGGCTTTCCGGTGCATGGGTAGCCGAGATCTTTGAGAGTTGTGTAAGAAGGCTTGGGGGGTTTAGGGTTTAGGGTTTGTAGTTGCATCAGATTGTTGGCGGGGCTGTATGAAAGGGCTGCCCTGGGGGTTTGAAGTCTTGGCGACTAGGACTTCCCACGGCTTCATGGCTTCTGAACCTATCGTCATCAGTGTACGTAGTTCTTCTTGAGGTTCGATGAAAACTGGCAGGAACAACTTCGGAGTCCCCAGCTGAGTCTAACCCAAAGCCCTAAACCTCCACCCTCACCAAAACCAAAGGAAAAGAAAAGAAAACCTGCAGCCGTCTAAAGCCTTAACCCTGGATCCTCGATCCAAATCCGCCATTCCTAAAACCCGCCTGCCCCAAAACCTAACCCCGAGCCCCCACTGAAAGCCCAAGAGGCTGGAGAGGGCCATCCCTGGTAGGCCCACGGCCAAGGACTCCAGGGCCTAGCTGTACAGGATTTCAGGGCTTCCGGCCCCTAAGCCCTAACCAAAGTTTGAGGCCCCAGACCCTAAAATTTGAAAAACCCGAAGTTTAGCGCCCAGACCCTGTAAAGTCTAAACCCTTAAGGAGCCTAAGCCCTAAACCCTAAACCCTAAACCCGGTTATAAGAAAGGAACCCTAAGGCCCTTACACTCTCGCAACTCGGAGCCAGGCGAGCCTGAAAGCCCTTCAGGCTGAAGCTCGTAAGTTCCTTAAGGACGAAACGAGCCCGAAAAGGGTTTCAGGTTCATATAAAATATAGGGATTCATAGTATACGGGTATAGGGCCCATTACTTATAAGGGTCATTTGGTCCCCAAGGTTAAGGGAACCTCTTAAGAGAAAGGTCTTGGGGTTTCGGAGATTTTTTTGGGTGTTTGGAGTTCTATAGGTGTGCGGTAACTCAGGAGAATGATTCAGCGGTTTAGAGCCGTTTAGGGTCTGGATTGTCGAGTTTCTAGAATTCGAAGTCTATGCAACTTGGAAGGCTTGGTTCGATCTTGTGCCGGCACTGGTTGTGAAGTTTTAAGTTATGTGGGGGTTTCCGAAAACAGGGGACCCTAATAAAGTATCCTACCTAGTAGGATCCTTTTTGTATGGAGCCCAAAATAAGGTACCCCTTCTTTTCGGAAACTCCCATGTAGCTTGGGACTTGGGGCTATGTTACTACAAGGCGCCTCAGACTGAGAATGCTCGTTCATGGCCTTTACCCTGCTGGACGTTGTGGACTACGGGCGGCAACGAAAAGTCACATATGGTGCTGCGATGGCGCCGGGACCTGGTTACCCTACGGCAAGCCCCTAAACCCTAAACTCTAGGCTCGACGCCCCAAATCTCCTAACCTGAACTGTATGCCCTAGCCCAAAGCTCTGTTGCTGGCCTCAATAGGGTGCGGCAAGCGAGCCGAACTCAGCCTTCAGAGTCAGGGGTTTAGGCTTTAGGAGTATGGGAAGTTACGGCTTCTTTATACAGAGGCCTTGACAAATGGCACAAGCCTTTCGGGGGGCACATCATTGTAAAGTTGACGTGAGGGGCCCTACGAAATAATCTTGGCAACTATTCAGGCTTCTTTATACATTGCAAAGAAAGGCTCCTGCCAGATGTTTCGTTGAAGTCGGACGAATCTTCTCGAAGGCAGACACCAGTGAAGGAGCCCCATCTCTGCCCATGTTTGATATCTACCTACGTATATGTATGTATGTAGGTATGTATGTATGTATGTATGTATGTATGTAGAGGGGCCTAAATAATCAGGTAGCAGTACTGTAGCAGTAGCAGTAGCAGTAGCAGTAGCAGTAGCAGTAGCAGTAGCAGTAGCAGTAGCAGTAGCAGTAGCAGTAGCAGTAGCAGTAGCAGTGTCTGCAGCAGTCGGTAGTGCAGTAGCAGT